GTTAATAAGAAATTGTTGATATTGGTTTTGTTATACTGAGTAATATTATATATGAGAGGAGCAAACAAACATATACATACATATGTTTATGTCTAATGCTGCAACTACCCAACTCACATACCATCCGTGAATAGCAACCTATCTCATCTTGAGAGCGCCATGTAAACACAATGTGCCAGCTGGCCCATGCCGTTGGTGACGGCTGCCCCTCAGAAACCATTTTTTCCGTAAAACCGGCAGGGCTCATTTCTCCTAGCTATACAAGGTTGCCAGCCTTTCTTAAAGTAACATTAAATAATCGAAGATAATGCGTAGTTTTTTTTCCAAAAATTAAAAAATGAAAATTAGATGCGTAACTAATTATTTGATACCATATAGATTATGTATATTTGCCTTGTGTTTATGTTCAAGCATATAAATTATGAAATTCGTTGACTAAAATTATGAATTTGTTCAAAAGTGTGCAAACACACTGGCAGCTGGCAACATTTCGCCACTCTCAGCTACGTCAACAATTGTGTATGTATCTCGCTCTTGACGTCGCCTGTTATGGACGGATGGTAAGTAAAATGGGTAGTTGCAACGTTAGTCATTCAAATTTGCGTCGAACGAAATACTAAATCGATGCAATTGTATGCGTAGTTTATTTGTATGTCTAAAATAAACCAAAACAAATCTGAAGCACAGTTTGTTCATCACAGAAAAAAAACAGACGACAGACGAGTCCCCGGTCCGATTCCCGAAGGGAAGTGTAGTTCGATCCACTTTCCGGAGAGAGTGTAGTCTTTTTGTTAATTTAATTTTATTGAATAAGTCCGTCACTGTTCCTCTCCTAGTGAAACCACCAACGTTTCAAATATTAAGTAGATCGATCCATAAATAAGTTTTTCTTGAATAGGCCAGTCCCAGGTCCACTTCCAGGAGAGAAATGTAGTTTTCCTGTTAATGTAAGCAAAAGCCACCTAAGTAGCAAATATCGAGTAAATCGATCCATAAATAAGTTTTTCTTGAATAGGTCAGTCCCCGGTCAACTTCCCGATATTTTTTTTTGGAAATCACTGGATTTTTCGAAACGGACATAAGACTTTTATATATAAGACCGAGAAGGGATTTTTTAGAGGTTTCCCCACTATTTTTCGAATTTTTCTCATCTTTTAAGCCTTCTCTAGACATCCATGAACATTACAAGACCAAGATAAGATAAATCCATTCAACCGCTCTCGAGTTTTAGCGAGACTAATGAACAGCAATTCATTTTTATATATAGATTTCACTTAACAAATTTTTAAAAAAAGATTTTGTTAATTTTGTTGTCTGGTGGTTCGACCTTTCGGCCCATTGTGATACTCTTGAGAGGATCCTTTCTCTTCTCAAATGTGAGAACCATTTAACACTTTATATAAATACTGTTAGATCTTTAATGCTCGCCGTGGTTAGCTTAGCCAGACAGTAGATATGGTATCTTCCGAGCAAGCGTGTGGCATTGTGCCAAGTCATGGACATTGACAGTTGTAGTGTTCGACAGACTCTTCCACGTCCATGCAGTTCCGACAAAAGTCATTTTTTTTGATTCATACATTACTTTGACGTCGATTCAAGGTTTATTGAATGCTATGATATGATTTCCACAAATATAGTGAGTTGATTCTAACTTTCTTGTTTTCAACCCTGGTATAATATGTGTAGCCGAGTGATTAGAATTGAGTACTGCCAGGCTTCAAGACCTGGTACGACCAACAACCGAAAGTTATATTTTAAATAAATTTAAAGACTTATAAGTTATAACCCAATGTTGTACTGTAGTAGGGCTGTCCTTTATATTATACTTTAATAGAAAAAAATATTAATTAAGGAAATCCGCTTTATTATGTTTAGAAATATTTTTCATTGCGATCTATACACTTTTGCATGCGTTCAAACCAATTTTCGAAGCATTTTTACTACTGAGATTGAAGTATATCCAAAACATACGTTCTTAACGCATCACCCGCCTTTTCAGATTTCAAAAAGCGTTGACCTCTCAGTTTATTTTAACGTACAGAAGTCATTCCGTGCCAAATCAGGACTATAAGGCGGACGACACACCAAATCGATGGAGGTGCTCAGAAATGTGTGAGAGTTCGCATTGTCGTGGTGAAGAGTTGTTAGCATTCGGCGGTAGATTTTCCTAATTTCTTGAAAAACAACTGGCGTTCTTGTGATGCGGTTGCCAGTTTTGCAGGCGATTGCTGTTTACTCTTGGGTCATAGACGTGTTTCGAAGAACTACTGTTCTACATTTCTATCGCACATTTGACACGAGCCATGTTTGACCGAGGATAGAACGTTCATGTATATAGTTGTCTCAATCTCACAATGGGTCACATGACGATCTGTCAATGAGAATAATTTAAGGAACTTCAACTGATTTTGGACGACTTTTACGAAATTCGTCTTGGAGTGATCTAGGCCCTCGATTGAATTCGCCACATCATCGATAAATATTGGTCCTTGATGGAGCTTCAACGTCAAGAATAGAATGAGATTATATGTAAACAAAACCTACATAACACATATAAATACCCTCACCTGAGATGTTGCTGCTGTGGCTGCTGGATCAAAAGAAGGCCTTCAGGCCGGCAACATTGGCCTTTTAAAGGTTTCCACAAAAGGTGGAAATCCTAAACGGGACTAACTGGACTAACTGGACTTTTCCCATATATTTGAAGAGTCACTTAGGTGACAACCGAAGACAGCAGCGACATCTCTAGGTAGACGTTATGGCTGCTGCTCAGGGTTGCACGCGTAAACACTCAATTTGTCTTACATATAAAGACATGCGTTCTACAAGATATTAAGTGAAGTAAAACCAAACTTGCATGCGTTTGCTAGGGAAGACTTTCGACTTGCTTGCAAAAATATGAGGGAAAAGAGTCATGATAAATTCATATTTTTAAAAGTGATGACGCTTTAACAACAAAATTGAGAAAACAAAAAAAAAGACAAATTGGTTGTTTAATTATTTTTACCATTTCTCAAATGGTTTCTATTGGGTTGCCCAAAAAGTAATTGCGGATTTTTTAAACTTAGAATGAACTTTAATCAAATATATAATTGCCATTTTGTTCGATAACCTTTTGCAATCTTCCTGGCAATTTAAGTATTCCACGCTCATAGAACTTCTGGTCTTTATCTGCAAAAAACTGAACCAAGTGCGATTTTATAGCCTCATCATTGCCGAAAGTTTTACCATTTAAGGAGTTCTGCAAAGATCGAAATAAATGGTAGTCTGATGGTGCAAGGTCAGGGCTATATGGTGGATGCTTTGATTTGGTCATCATCAACTTCATTTGGCCGATCTTAACGTGGCTCATCTTTAAGTGAAAAATCTCCAGAACGGAATTTGCGAAACCAATTTTGACACTGTCTTCCTTTTAAGGCTTCATCACCATACACATCTCGTAACTTTTTAGCAACCTGCTCCGCGTTTTTTCCTTTACGGAAATAATAAAGTAAAATATGACGAAAATGCTCCTTTGTGGGCTCCATATTAAAATTGATGCCAAACAAACAAATGTAAACAAAATTTCGCTCACTTTTTTTCTAAAGCAAGCTAAAAGTAACAGCTGATAACTGACAGAAGAAAGAAAGCAATTACAGAGTCACAAGCCGTTGAAAAAATTTGTCAACGCCTACTATATGAAAAATCCGCAATTAATTTTTGGGCAACCCAATATATACTATAAATAGATTATTTATATCACTTCCGGAAAAAGGAAAATAATTTTACTAAACGATTACCCTTTTTGGGATCTAACATCTATATATGTACATATATGAACGAGGTGTACTTAAAATAGAGCAAGAATTTTTTTAATTTCTAGTGCTTGATGGGCTTCATTGTTTAAAATATGAGAAAACTTTCAGCTGTCCTCACTGTTGAACTTGTCTGTGACAAAAACTAATATGATTTCGTTTGTTAGAATAATTTGAATTTCCATAAAATTTTGGGTGAAAAATAGAACAAATTGTGTGAAACGTGAATAGAGTCCCTTGGTAAATCTGGTACAAGTAAAGCTAGAGTTTTCGAGTGGAATAAGCGTTTCCAAAAAGACCTTGAAGAACTTGAGGATGACGAGCGTCTTGATCGCCCAAACACAGTAGCAACTGATGAAAACGTGGAAAAAGCAAAGCGAAATAATTATGAACGACAGCTGACGATACAGAATTGCTGAAACGTATTAAAAAGGCTAAACTAAGGCTCAATCACCGCAGCCAGGCATTTGGCTCGCCGAGACCGAAAAGTGCGGGGGAACTTTAAGGTCACTGTATTTTTCGCTTACAAGTGAATTTTTGGCAAAAAAAAAAAATAGTAAGGTTGCGCCATCCACCATATTCGACAGACATGAATCCATATGACTTTTTCCTATTTTTGGGGCCGTCGTTTTGCAGCCATAGAAGAGATTAAAATACATCGCACAATGGTGACTATTTTTAAACCGACAACATCAATGTAAATGAATAAATAGACATCTTGATCTAGAAATGAATATTCTTGCTATTTACTTTTGAACGCACCTCGCATTCACCTTATTTCCATCTGAAATTTTAAGGATTAAACTACATGGATTTTTTCATATTGTAATAAATGCTCTTCTTTGTCGTTTTGTTGCAATGATAAATACTTGACCCAATTCCTATGTCCCCCCTTCCATCGTAAAGTAGCTAACACAATATACATACGTACATACACGTACATATCTAAAAAAAAGCACCTCAAGGGTTTGCGCTTCAGTGAAAGGCAAGTGTTTGAGCATTTCGTAATTGACACTCGAAGCTAATCGTTGGCACTCGTATTAATTGCGCTTTTGATGTACATTTTAACATTATAACTGTAGTTGCTATAAAGGGATGTTTTTTGCCATCTGCCATGTTTGTAATTCACCATTCTATGCTACTTAAATGTGTGTAATCGGTATGTATTTATATTTAAGGTATTGTGTTGATTTATTTACTTCACAGATGCTTCACCTGGCTGCAAGGCACCTGATATACGCTTCACCGTTATACGACCGGAAACGACTACGGAGCAACCATATGCAAAATTCGAAACAACTCAGATTTATCTGCCCGAGGACTTTACCACATCCGATGCAGAATTTGTTGAAAAGATTAATATCGATCTGACCGCCCGTCAGCCTGGCGTCAACGACAATAAGATGAGCGCTATCGTTAATCCCTACCAAGTCGATCTGGATGACCAGCACGGCATGGCAGAGATAAACGGTGCAGATGATACACTCGCCGCCATCGACGACGAGGAGGACGAGGCGGCCGACTCTGAAGATGGCACACCCAAGCGCAATCAGAATCGTAAGCTTAACAAGAAACGTCGTTCCGGCACAGGACGTCGTCGTCGCATTGAAAATGAAAATGGACAAACACGTGGCCGTGGCAGCCGATATAAGCGTCAGGTGATCCATCACGACCCGGATGCTTCTTCGGATACAGACAAGTGGGGTGGTAGTAAATTGGCCGCTGAGGGTGATGTTTATTATGTACACATCGATGACATACTCGAGTCGGGTACACCCAACGCCGAGCTTCGATTAAAACTGCACAAATTGAAGCATAAAAACAAAGCAAAAAATTCAACATGTTCCGATGTCGCAAGCAAAGAAGAATGCAAGGAAACCACAACAAAGAAGAAGAAGAAAAAGGCAAGCACCACTGACTTACACAAAGAGATGGTGATTGACAAACAGATGGGAAATAAGGAACCAAAAACAAAACAACATCACCGTAGACGCGGGGACAGTCACGAGGAGAAACGAGATGAACAGCGAACGGAGAAAACAGAAAAATTTACTTATAATTCCCGTTACCGACGAGCTACTGGTGAATTTAAGCAAATCATGAATACAACTGCGAATATCTCGGATAGTAACAATTATCTGGAAGCGGAAGTAGATGCGGCGGGAGGAAGCGACTTGTATACGACAACAAATAGGCGCGGTAGTAACAAAAATATTACGATTAAGTTTACCAACATGACAAACGAGCAGCTGCTGGGCGATAGCGATGTGCCGGCGGTGTATGGCAAAGAGACGGGCGCGGAGGCGCTGCAGCGCGTCAAACGCAAGTCCGGCAAGACAACCGGCGCATTGAGTCGTCCCAAGGGCGGCGGTGATTCCAGCTCGAAGACGACAAGTCGCAAAGATAAAGGTGAGTATAAATATTTTATGTATTTAGTTATGATTATTTTCTGCGGTAATGGCATCGGCAAGCGCTGACAACTTTTCTTTTACATGGCGCTCTCATAAGATAGGTTGCTATGGCTGGAGGTATGTAAGATGAGTAGTTGCAGAACTAGGAATACACCCTTTAACTTTAATTATGCAATCTCAACTAAAAGACCTGTATAATATTCTAATTCGTTTATAGAAAACACAGGGAGCCCCATCTTTTATGTCGGTATGCAAACATTGAATAACGTCGAGAAAAACAACCGATTCCTATAAGTGATGTATTTTTATTCAGTTTGGTTCCTTACAACTTTTTTGGACTTGAAAACAATATCAATCAAGTGACTCTCTTTATTAGCTATTACTAAGTTACTCCTTTTTTCTGCGTTCGCCATTACCTTTCCGAGAATCTGACAAGACATGAACGATGTCAACATCTGATGAGTCGACCTTAGGAGTTTTCGATAGAAAAGTTTTACGTAAGATTTATGATCCATTGCGAGTTTAGAACGGCAAATACCGCCGCCGTTAGAAGTAATATGTATTGCGTGTAGCCTGTGTTTTTTTTTACCAAAGCTCAAAAGAAAAAAAAACTCTATAAATTTTTCATCACCTTGAATGAGACTACTACATCTTCCGAAAAGAGATATCTTTAGGCAATTAGTCGGCTATGCCATTGTCTTCGATGTTGAAATTAGGTTTTAGAGCGGAATATAAGCCGTAAGTATAGCGCTTTCTTAGTGTGCGCCTGGATCTGTAGCCAATTGAGTACTACATGAGGACAACATGCCTAAATCTATGATGAAATTCCCTGTGATCTTCCTTTCTGCTTAGTAATCTTTAAATTATTTTGGGAAAGCAACCGACCAACATCAAAATTATAGAAATCTAGTAAACCCGGCCTGGTGAATTACTGCTTTAATCCATTAATAGTATTGGACGTCAGGTAAAACGTTGGAGCACTCGGCTTGCATAACCGGTTGTTAGGGAGTGTCAAAAATGCCTTATCACTAATTATCAAACCCTTGATTATTAAAGCATGGTGTCCATATACTATTTATTATTCATCTCATGTTGCTTCTTTTCAAATCTCTGCTCGTGAAGTCTGAAGTAGGCCATAGTAAGCCCGAAATTCTTTTCACAAAGTTTTACCTGTTGTCGAAGCGGGTGAGAGAGAATGTTGAATACAGTCAGGTTGAGCACTACGCACCTTACGTTGTAGTTATGTTTTCGAATTAACTGGCCAAGTGACAAGTCAGGCATTATTTTTGCAGTGAGTTTAAGGTTTAATTACCACAGCTAGAATTATCCGAATTATACCAAATAAGCACTCGACAACTTTTTGCCATTTTGAAGTTAATGCCATTATGCCTATCTCATTGCAACCCTTGTCCTCACTGAAAAAATATTGGACAATCGTTTTTTACAGGCTTCGCTTGAAGCCAATTCTTCACCAGCCAAATCATTCGCCACAGACCGGAACAGATACTAATCACTTGGTGTGAGGACCGGACTGTAAGGTAAAGGCATAAAAACCTCCTAACCAAGCGCCCGGAGCTTCTGACGCATCAAAGCTGGGGCTTCTGGGCTATTGCTTCTTTCAGATGGTCCAATCACTGACCTTCCTGGCCGTCAATACTGGGTTATAGACTGTTTATGACGGTTCACTGCCCTTTGACCACGACCGTTTTCGTTTGACACTGTAAGTGATCCACTTTTCATCTCCAGCCACCATCCATTTTAGAAATGGGTCACACTCCACGATTTCCATTATTTCATCGACATTTTCGACAATGCTCAGTGGCGATCTTTTTTTACATCAAAATTAACAGAACGAAATCGACGAAACCGAAACTGTATGAACTTTATTGAATGTTACACTATCAGGGACATAAACACTTTTGGCTGCCTGAATTTCGTTTTCGCTTTAATCGACGAAAAATTCTAGAAAATGACGTATTTTCTCTTTTCTTGTGTCCATCTTTGCCATGTGCTCAAACACTGCTGAGTTAAGTGATCGACACTTCTGCAACTATGGTCTTAAATACGTATTGGCGTAATGACATCGCGAGATACAGATCACTAAAGCCGTCTATTGCAAAAATAACAAATGACTTGTTACGTGACATAACATTTATTTCAAAGTTTTTAATTTCAAAGCATTTTCGACTGGAATATTGAAGTCAATAGTGAATCATCATACCAACGAACCGTATTTCTTACGAGGGGCGGTAACACGCGCCTCACTCAAAAAATTAGCATAATACGGGCCGTTCATTGTAGTTTCATTGGCAAGTAATTAATTAATAATATTCCCTCGCTGTCCCAGAAAATGGATAATTTTCGGCGCCGACTTTTCCACTTTGAATTTTTTTGGTAGCCTTCCCGCTTTTTTGTCCACTGCATCGACTTTTGCTTGAGCTCGGGATCACACTGGCACAACTTCAAAGATCTTTATAGCTCTTTAATCGTCGCCAGTACTAATTTTTGGACTTCCTGAACATTTTCTTCATTCACGACCGTTACTTGGCGTCACGGGTGGTGGTCATCTTCACAGGCCTCTCCTCCTTGTTAAAACAGCCTAGCCCATTTTTTCACCACCGTATAAGAAGGGGCAGAGTACGGAAGGACCAATGACATCTCTTTAAAAATTTCTTTCGGCGTTCTTTCTTTTCTTACAAGGAATTAAATCACAGCGCGGTGTTTCAAATATCGAGAATCTTCGGCTTCCATTGACATAAAATTGTTGCTTGTTCCAGAAACGAAATGCTAATAGGTTCATTAAGAAAAAATTGTGTTATTTATCGTACTAATGGGTCCCGTAATTAGTATTATCAGTAATGAGTTGGTGTGTCAGGCCGCGAAAAAATCAGCCGCTCCTCGTATTTTGACGGGGGAAAAACGGTTTGATCATGCCAATAGTACTTAAAAGCAATAAAACTTAATGCATTAGTTCAAAGCTCGGTCAACATGTCAACTTTTAATTTAAATATACAAACGTGATAACAGTCTTTTTGTTATAAGTTTATATTATTTTCATAAATTGAATATTTAGATTTTACAACAAAAGCAAATATTAGAACTGACAGCTGTTTCGGAGATCAGCACACTCCTAATCAGACTTGTTATGGCCAGTATCGAAGCAACGGATTGTGACTTAAGTTAATATTTCTTAAATATAGTTACAATTTCGAAGTGGAGTAGAAAATTATTTTCATACCAAAGTGAAAAGTTGCCTTTGTTTAAATGCAATATTATTAATAAAGCCAGGTAATGCTGATCTGTCCTTGGCGGTCTCTCGCCGTGGCTGTATATGAATAAATGTTGAACTTTGTTGTAACGTCTTCTAGTGCATCAAACAACTTTTCAATTCTACTTTTAGGTATTTATGATGAAGAAGGTGGCTACTCACCTGTACATCCTGACGAAACGGACGAAGAAGAGGAGGAGGATGAAGAGGAAGAGATTGATATACAACAACAGTTCACTGAAGTATCTGAAATACGTTTCCCTGGAGAAATTGGACCATTGGGTGATAGGAGATTATGCAAAATACGTTGTGTCAAGGGAAAATGGGTTGGACCATTGTGCGCCACCAACGAGGAGGGTAAGTGGTGAAAAGGCTAACAAGCCAATAAAGCTATGAAACCTACATACATACATACATACCTACATACATCAGAGTATCAAGTAACGCCATGGACACAACGCAAGCAATAAAATAAATAGCATAGATATACATATATATATATACTCGTATATAAACCATTAGCGAGTTAAACATAAAGACATTATTGTAATACATACATACACACACACACATAAGTATGTAGCTGCATAAATACATATACACAGCCATTATAGAAACAAAAGAGTTTAATAAATACAATATTTACTCGGCAATGAGATACAATTCACTCGAAAGCGCATACATACAAACGTACAGGCGAAATGAAGGTGTTGATTGGAAGCCACAAAACGGGAAAAAACAAATCTTGCACAGTGTTGATTGCATGTGCTGAGATATATATAATACAAACATACTTACATATATATATATATATATATATATACTTGAAAAGAACAAGCAATAGTAATACATACATATTTACATTCATTTAAATATAATATACATAAACATAAATACGCAATTATAACAAACTAATGTCATTCAGTAGCATACGTACATATACAACTGTTTTGAGAACATACATATACATTGCATACACATACATAAACCCAAAATACAAAAGAAATAGAAGGAAAAGCAATTTAAATAAATCAGTTTGCTGAAAACAGTTACAATGCACACATTTTGTTTCATTTTCTATCGCAGGATACAAACATACCTTACAACATAAATACGTTCGTACATTCTTATAAGGAAATTCTTCTTCTTCTGTATTTATTACTGAATTTAATTATATAAAAATTTTATTTTATTTATTTCACAAAAAAAAAAAAATAAATAAATGAATAATCCAAATCCCATAGATGATAACGGAAATGTGAAATTTCAGCCCCTTTACAAAAGTTGTCATGTAAATCGAATTCCGCCGCATTTGCTATTGAGCTATCGAAATATATCAGTGGTAAGTCGATTGTGATTTCCAAAGCACATATGTACACGTATGTATGGAGGTGGAGGATGTGAAAATGTTCTTTGAAAGCATTTTTCCTCTCTTGGAACGTTTGATCTTTCTTCATAAAACACTTCTTCTCACTAAGACACATACAATAATGCACCATTACATACATATTGCACTCATCTTTTGATGTAAAAACCGTTAATATAAAAAATACTTACCCACACATATGAGTAAAAATTCATTAAAGGCCAGTTTGAGTAAGAACAAAAAATTTATTAAATACCAGCAAAACATTGTATCGTAAAATAGACCTTGATATTTTAAGAACTCTACAAGCCATTTTGTTTCTTTATGCACTAATTTTATGCTCTTTTCATACACAGTGTATGTCTGCTCTCTATAAATACATACATAAATATCTCTATCTATACATTTAAGCTCAGATTCTTCTTACATATATTCTCTCTTTTATCTAATACTATCACGCTCCGCTTCTATCTCACACATTTTAAGTTTCTACGATAGTTTTGTGTATTGAGCGCGAACCAAAATTTCTTTTTCGTCTTATCTCATTTTCTTTCTTGCAGACCCCGATACCGTCCATTAGAGGGTCGCGTCGCAATCGAACTTCCAAATCGACTTTCATTTCCAATACACAAATTGTGAGTTTTATCGTCTTAAAACCCATCGAATCAATCGATTCAAATCGCCTCTTTCACCCTTATATCTTCCGCACTCTTCGCCACTAAATGACAATATACAGTATATACGAGTGTCATCTACACGTATACTTGTGAGTCCTGTGTGACAATGGTGTGCAGACGATTTTGGACTTGGAAGAGGCTGAAAAACAACATTAATGAGCACCCTAGTAGTGAATTTAAAATTAAGTAGATTCCCTACAGTTGGAGGGTACAATGTAGATAATGCTTGCTTTTGGTAGTAAATAAGACTAGGGCTGTTCAGAATCTTGTGCAAAGGATATTGCAGCATCTGATTTGGATATTGTTATGGTGATGTCTTGAAAAACACCAACAAAATCCATTGCAATGCAGTTCCTGAACTTTTTCTAAAATTGATTTAAAGTTGTCATTAGATATGTTTGCATCACTGTCAATAAGATCACAAGAGGTCGTTCTTAATCAGTGGTAAACAACATATTTTCGAGTACTAAAGAATTTCAATAGAAAGGATGGTGAACAGCCCTATTAACTTAGCTTTGCATTTGGAAAAGCCTTTTAGATAGCTTAGCCTTTCTTTCTCGTCACTCACAAAGCACTTCAATTCACTAAACATTTTCGATGGTCAGAATGTACAAGTTTAGGAAATCATGGACAAGAAGTTCTATCAGCTCTTAAAAGGCAACCTATTTTAATGCTAGAACGATAATCTTTATCGACTGGAATGAGGTCATTTTTTGAGGGTAAAATTAGTAATGCACAAAAAAAAACATCTGTTAACAACTTACTGTAATAGAGATTTTGGTAGCGTTTTCTCGAATTGATGGATATGACAGATTTAAGGTTAAAACTTTATCCTGCATTTTCATACAATTGCTTAAATAGTTAAATATACATACATTCTGTGTACATCATATACTCGTATAACAACTAGACGAAATTGACATTGGTCCAATTAGTTTTCAAAGTACACGAAAACCCCCATCAATGAAGAGAGCCACAAAAGCCAAACAATTTTCAGATACTTCAATATAGTTTTATTAGTTGTATGACCACATATAAATTACTTACATTGCTTGCTTGCCAAGCAAGTTGATTAAAAATCAATAATAAAATAATTTAATATAATATGAAATAAAAAAATAAATTAAAATAAAACAAAACAACATAAAGAAATATAAAAGAAATAAAATAAAACAAAATAAAATGAAATAAATATAATAAACTAAAATAAACTAAATAAAATAAGATATTATAAAATTAAATTAAATAAAATGATATCAAATGAAATAAAATCAAATAAAATAAAATAGACTCAGATAAAGTAATATAAACTAAAACAAAATAAAATAAAATATATTAAAATAAAATAAGATGTTTTAAAATAAAAAAATCTAATAAAAAATGAAATAAAATAAAATATTATAAATTAAAATAAAATAAAATCAACAGAAATATAAAAAAATAAATGAAATAAAATAAAATAATATAAAATAACATAAAGAAATATAAAAGAAATTGAATAAAAAAAATAAAATGAAATAAAAATATAACTAAAATAAACTAAATAAAATAAGATATTATAAAATTAAATAAAACAAAATGATATTAAATGAAATAAAATCAAATAATGTAAAATAGACTCAGATAAATAATATAATCTAAAACAAAACAAAATTAAATAAATTAAAATAAAATATAATAAGATATTTTAAAATAAAAAAATCAAATAAAAAATGATATAAAATAAAATATTATACATTAAAATAAAATAAAATCAAAAGAAATATAAACGAAATTGAATAAAACAAAATAAAATGAAATAAAAAAATAAACTAAATAAAATGAGATATTATAAAATTAAATAAAACAAAATGATATTAAATGAAATAAAATCTAATAAAATAAAATAGACTCAGATAAAATATTGTAATATAAACTTAAACAAAATAAAATAAAATAAATTAAAATAAAATAAAATAAAGTAATATAAAATAAAATAAAATATCAAAATAAAAAAAAATAAAATAAAATAAAATATGACTAACTGACTTTTTATTTATATTAAAACCGTAAACTTACCTGCCTTTCAGACTTATAAATACAAAAGGGAAATTAAAGTCGCTTTTAGTACCCTGAAGCATTTCATTTAGCAATGGTCGAGCACTGATTTGCTTCCCGCAGATTATATGGATAGAGCCGCATAACAAAAAAACACTTATTCGTTTAAAAACTGAGCACCAAACGAGTACAATACACCATCACACAATAACAAAATGCCAACGACTGTCTGTCGAAAATCTTTCTCTATGTATACTACAATACACTGTCTTGATTGCAATTGTTTCAGGAGCTTTATAATTCCTAACTTTGCTTGTATTTTTGTTCGTCTCTATATTTCTCTTTCTCGCTATCTGACTGCGCCTGTTAATATAAAATATAATTTTGCTAACTTCTTCAAATTATTAAAATAAATGATAAAATTTGACTTGTTCTTCCACAAATATTTTATGGTGCACCCTGTATATTAAAAAAAAAAAAAAAAAAAAAAAAAAACATTGAAAATTGTCCAACGGTTCGCCTACCTCAGAATGTCGGCTGGGATTTGCCACATGGACACTCTTTACAGGCGCGTTGCAAGGATCTTGGCATGTACAAGCTTCTTGGCGAATCTCGAGTGCTTTGCTCGAACGGTCTATGGGCACCGCGTATGCCGTCTTGTGTGCCTACAACGTTACTCACCAATTTCTCCGATGACAGCGCACCCTCTATTCGTATAAAGATTTTTAACGGTTCCGGTGCATTTGAGCCATCAGGCGTATTAGCCGTTTTGCCGCAAAGCTCCATATTAATGGATTGTATGTATCCACGAGTGCGAGGCATACCTGAGTGGACTTGGACGAGCTGGTATAAGCAGTATCCAACAGGTTAGTAAAGTTTTAGCAAATCACTTCATATCATGTTTGTATCTTTTTGAATCGTAAATTCCGTAAAAAAAATATACATCATAAAATAGTCAGCCATTTTGATAATTTAATTTTTTATCTTTAATTATCAGGTTGGTCACATGAAGATAAGAATCTGCGATATCGTTTGACAATTAAGGACATAGAAAATGGTGGCTCTGGTACATTTACGTGCACTTCGCCACGCGGTTTAACCAATAGTATTGCAATCGTTGTGGCCACCTCGACATGTCCGCAGCTGCCAGAACCGGTGTCGCCGCTCACGCTACGCTTGGAGGGTAATAAGCTCGGGCAACGCGCCATGTATCGATGCCCTCCGGGCTATCGTATCGATGGTGTTGCGAATGCAACATGCTTAGCCTCGGGTAATTGGTCATCGCCGCCGCCCACTTGTCAGGCTGTGCAGTGTCCCCGTTTGGCGTTGGACGATCCACATTTGAGTTTGATCGAGCTTAATACGTCGGCGTGGGGGCGGGCGATGTTCAAATGCCAATGGGGATTCAAGCTGACCGGCCCGCCGAGACTGGACTGTGAGCCGACGGGCGTGTGGAGTGGCCCAGTACCGCGTTGCAAAGGTGAGTAGTTGCAGTAAGCTGTTAAACAAATTTTATTTAATAAAGGTATGTCAACAATTCTTTCACATTATATATATACTTTGCTTGATTTAATTTCGCTTTTATTTACTCTACGAAGCAGCCCCGATTATTATGAAAATAAACCGTTACTAAATAAAATATTAAAATATTTAGAAAAGTATAAAGAAAAAATATAATAAATAAAACTAAAACAGTTTAAATTTACAAGAAATAAGTTGTAGGAATAAAAACACTGCCTGGAACCCACAAGCGAACTTCAATCCCTCCAATTACTTTGGGAAAAATTGTGTATCCTTCATAATTCAGTAGCAACATATTTCGACCAATCAAATTTTCTCGTGATCAGTGTTTTCTAATCTTCGCTGATGATGGGTGTAGTTAAAAAGGTTCGAGGACAAGAAGTTTGTTTAAATATTGTTTAACTGTGTTGAAAATCTAAAGTAGGATAATTAAAGTCCTTACAACGCTTGTGGATATAGATATATTCTTAGTTGGACCGAAATGCCGTCAATCGGCCCGATCTTCGGACATTCAAGTGCAGTGACCTCTGCAGGGTAATCTTAATTTAAGTTAAAACTTTTTTGGTAATTCCCTGTGAAAGTTAACTAAAAATAAATACTAGCAATCTGGATTAATATGGCTGACTACTTGCTGAAACGACCCATTTCCAGAGAGAATATTAAGAGTTGGTAAAAAATGGATATTTAACCAAGCAAAATGAGTGTTAGGTTATAGCAGGGATATTCTCTTTGTCTAGGACAGTGCTGTCCAAACTTTTTTTGGCGTGATTACAGAACTGGTCAGCAGATCTATTCAATGGCCACTTTTTCCAAAACCTAAGAAAAACTGTGAAAACAAGTCGAAATTCCGTTTTTGCATTTATTTTCGATTGCTAATGCGCGATAGAACATTTTTCTATTTTCTATGAGTTGAAATTAACCTAAACAATGACTGTTCATTTAAGATTATTTCGACGGATGATACTCTTTTTTTCTGTCAATTTATCAAAGTCTGGCGTCGATTGGATTAGTTCGCAACGAAGTTCGGATTCCGAATTTTGTTGCGATATTGCATTGCGGTGTTTTGTTTTACGTCGTACGAGACTTGAGAATGATGCTTCGTATGTGGAACCAAGCATGCATACAAACTTTGGCACAATGTCAGATAACAAACGCCTCCACAATGCATGGCCCTTTTCATTTGGCAAGCCACTTTCTTCATTCATCAACCAAATATCGAATTTCAAACGAGTTTTCTTTGTTCCGAAAAGATCTGACAATTTTTGAATATTATTTGGGTCAGAAATGAATGGGTTTTTGAGAATTTTGAAGTCCAACTGAAACTTTGGAAGTCTTCAAATAGTGAATCGAACGAGTTAATCAAAATGTCCAGATATTAAATGAAAATGTTCGTATCGTAATCTAGCTAAAATTCATCTTTATATTGATTTATGTCATTTTCGTTAATTTGGTTTTCAAATGCGACCAATTTCAACTTGAATTCTTGAATATCTTTTGCCAAGCTCCAAATGAATTTATGCTTTGCTTGTAACCTCACACTCAACTCGTTCAGATGTTTCGTAACATCGGCTAAAAAGTACAGTTTTTCTTTCCATGTATGTGCCGATATTTCACTGAATTCTACATCCCAGTGTTGTTCCATGAGAAATAGTCCGATTTCATTAAACAGATCACAAAATGGATTCAAGACATCTCCACAGCTTAGAAACCGAAATCTTTTGAAGAATATTATATTATGGCACCAAATTTCGAATTTACTTTTTCTGTCAAACGATTTGAATCGACGATGACATAGTTCACTCGCTCTGATTGTATTGATGATCTGCAAAGAATTGCGAAAATTATGTGTACGATAAATAAACTAAAATCGGCTTATTTTTGCTAATACTGCACATATTTTGGTCACTGTTTTTGAAACTTCACAATCCGCATTGGAACCTGTGCGCACAAATTTTCATGAAAAACGGTGTGATGAAATATTCTTTGATGTACTTTTTCACTAAGGCAGCAAAACTGGCGTGCATTCCAATCATTGCCGGAGCTCCATCGGCTTCTTCAAGTCCTAATCATATCGCGCAACGACAGTCGTAAATGCATCAAATATATATTCGGCCCTTGTTTATTCAGTGAGAGGATCCAAAGCCAAAATATTTTCTTTAACTTGACCGTTTTTGATGTATCGCATTTTTAATCATTTTTTGGAAAAAATTAGAATCAATATTTGAAAAAGATTGAATTCTCAAGTTGGCCACTGCAATTTGCCATTAGTTTGAACAACACTGGTCTAGGAAATGCTTGCTGTGATGCACAGATTCATCGGCTTTCCAATTTGTTATTTGGGGGACACACAAATATGCAAGCTTTTCAATGGTAAAATTTTCGATTTCGTGAATCTTTTGTTTTGCGCGATTAAGTTGTTGTTGTTATTGTAGTTGAAACCCCAGGATTCTTCGAGCGTGGAAGCAAAACTTGTCAATCAGAGATTAAGTGTTGTTTTTGTTCATATAAAAAATTTGATTTGACAATATGAAATACAACGATTTTTTATTTTAAAATAAACCAAACTTAGGTCAGTTATAGTAAAATTAATATTCTATAGGCTTTCTTTTATAGGCCACAGGTTATTTGATGCAAAGTTTTTGATCATCTTCCATACGAGTATATAAATATCAGATTACTTCCTTGAGGCTAAATTCCGTAAAACTATTATAAAGCACTTAAGAGTATGTGATAATACCCGGAAATGCATTAGGTGCAGTTCTTTGAAAGTATAATCTTGCTGAAAACTTTAAATTTAAATTATAAGTAAATATGTAGAATTCATAGTTGACCTAGAGGATACGAGCCTTAAGTGTTCAAGTAGAAGGTGCGATGTTGTAGAGGCGAACAGCAAGTTGTTAAAAACGACAAATACAGTCACACGACGACTTGACAAGTGGTCCCTGAGTACATATCAAAGTCAACTAGAAACCAGAATCCATACCTACGCGGTCATACTGCTGTTGGCGTTGTGAGCATCACATGAAGTATGCGAATAATTGAATTTTTTATTGACAACTCAAACAGGCGACAAGAAGCGGAGGGCCAACGTCAACAGTGTTGAAACTTGGAAGGCGGCAAAAAGCATTTTTCTCGTATCACATTCTCACTTTACTTAGGGCAGCCAACAGCTGCTTCTTTACTGTTTTACATTTGTGCGCCTTGTTATTGCTATTTTCGTTTTAATTTAATTTTCGTTTACATGATGCACATATGTATATGTATGTACATACTCGTTATTTTCTTGTATCGTCCTTCGCGGCATTGCGGTAGTAAGTTTCTCCCTCACCATATCGTGCAGTTTTTGTTGGCTTGTGTGTGCGTCTGTTGGTTTTTGCTTTTGTTTTTGTTGGGTTTGTTATATGTAATTATTATTATTATTTTTTTATTTTTTAATTTTTATTGTAACATGTTTCACGGTATCATCACCATCTGCTCTCTTTCTTCTTGCTTTGCTCTATCTTGCACTCGTCAACCCCATCATCTACCCCATCAAAATGAAATATCACGCGCATGAAAAATTTATAATGAAACAGCCATCCAATGTTCGACGCCGGTGGCGCCGCTAAATGGACGCATCGGTGGTACCAATTTAAATCAACGCCGGCTCACTGTAGGCGCACTGGTCACATTCAGCTGCAACGAGGGGCACACGCTGGTCGGCGAGCCAAGCATTATTTGCACAGAAACTGGACTCTGGTCACATCCGCCACCATTTTGTAAGTAATATGAAAGCGGAAAAAAATAATTACCACTTACATATATATAGATTTATGTGTACTTATGCGTATGTACAAACATGCATACATACGTACATATGTATGTACGTATTCGAAAAATGAAAAAAAAATTGTAATGAAAATTTTAAAGCCGAGCGAAGCTGCTCACACTCACTCAAATACTCACACGCACATAAACATACACGCCCACACACACTGAGACCTATCCATTAGCTTTAAAGTGTACACATGCGAAGCAATGTGGCGTTGTGTGTGCGTGTGTGTGTATGTGTTAAATATTTATGTATAATTGGCCGAAGTGAAATGCAAAAGCGCAAGATTATGGACGAACTCAATGCTGAGTAAATGGCAGAAAGTTCTCGGTCAGAGAGGACTTAATGAAAAGAAGAATTGGCAATTAACAAAGTAAATCAACAGAATTTGCAATTTCACTGCAACAATTTAAATATCGCACAGCTAATAAAGCAGTCAATAATATGTGTAAAAGTGTAATCAAAATATCAAAATCTATAAGGACATATGTTTGCGTATATGCGTGTGCATAACCTCTTAAGCTTATACACGCATACATGATTATACATATACATATGTGATAACCTTTGACCAATACAATGCTAATGCTCATTTCTACATATCTATGTACATTCAATACATACATTTGTAAGTATATATTTTTTCGATTTTACTCTCTCTCTCTCTTGCCCTTGCAACTATCCAACGGTACAATTTGTAGGCAAATCGCAATGTCCCTACCCCGGCGATCCGCCAAATGGTTTAATAGCACCGCTGAAATTCAATTACGATTCCGGCGATTACCTGAGTGTCCAGTGTCGGCCTGGCTTTGTACAGTATAGCGAAAATGGTCCGCCAGAGCGTCCGAAATGTCAGCCGGATGGAAATTGGTCCGGCCCTGTGCCCAAGTGTCGCAGCTATGAGGAAGTGTAGCTAATCAAAATGGCGGACATGATGATGCCGGAATCATCGGATGAGTCCACACAGTTGCAATATCAACAACAAAATCGAAAAATACGTTATTAACAACATTCGTACCATTATGTTAAGGCATATATACATATACAATAATAAATAAAACTGAATAAGAGCCGAAAAAAGAAAACAAAAGCGACGTCCCAAACAACAGCACATACACGCACACACATCGTATTATGTAATAGTGTATGCTATGAATAACGGTTAGATCAATTACGATGTATTTACGCATATAAACTGTATATACATACGTATATTTGCCGATTTATCAATATATATATATACATAGATATATATATGTGTTAAGATTCCTGTAGGAAATTAGGCTACCCTGAAATAATGAAAAAAGGAACTCTTATATAAATGAAATGAAACAATTGCATAAATGATATGTAAATCAAAGTTGTTATTCTCTTGCATATATTCAAAATACGGATTTTTTCAAATTAATCTAAATGTAAAGTATTTTCGACTTTTCACATAAATAAATAAATAATCTAGTTTTTGCACTCACGCACACACAGCTGCAGCAGTAGGGAGACACTATGACCCTTATCATTAGCTGTATGAAGTGTTTTACTTTGTGCTACTTATTTCCGGCAGCTGACACAGTTCATTTACAATTTAAGTAAATAAAAATTGAAGGAAAATAATAGTTTTGACTGAAATTAAAAATAACTTGCTACGAACTTATACAAATAAAATACTCTTAAAAGGGTAAATTAGTTAAAATATCCTTCTTGAGAATCAGTACGACAGAGTTCTGATTCGTTAATTCACTGGAAGATGAGTTTCTAGGGAACAGACCAACATCATGAAACGACTAAAGCAAATTTCTACTGATTTCTCTCTTTCAATTCATTCACACAAATTTCTTTTAAAAACATCAATGAAGTCACCCTTTCAATTTATTGCCCTCCGGGTATAATTATTGAAAATTATGGAAAACTTGTGTTAAGTAGCTGCTTATAAAAAACCAGACGATAAGTACTCCATCCTCATATGTTACACCATCGATCGCTCCTACCTGTCCGACCGAAAAGAGGTTATGAAGATTTCGACAGAGTTGCATAGCCCATAATACCTCTTTGGAAATCCGCTGCTTCTAAAAAAACCGTCTTTGAGATGCAAGTTTTTAGATTATATCAATGTAAAACAGATTTTGGTATAGATGAGCGTCGGCTCTATGCGAGAATCTCGAAATTGACATTAGACTTTACTGTATTTGCAATTTGTTGATTGTATTGGAAACATAGAGTGATGACCCACAATAGTATTTGTTCCAAAAAGTAAAGACATTATTAATTTATTTCAAATTAAAAAGCAAAAAACTATCTGCGGTCGCCAGAAAATATTTTCCTTTTGTTATAAGTTCGTGAGCGAAAGGCTTATTTGTTTGTTTATGTAAAATATTTATATTATACAACAAATAGGAATGATAGAAGTGAGAGCTGTTTCAGAGACCACCAAATCTCCTCCTCAGACTACTTTTGGCATGGATCAAACGAACGGATTCTGACTTAGCATGCGAAAGCTCTACCCTTGACGCAACATCAGCCTTGTAATCTGTTGTTGTATTAACTGATTCGTCATTAACCAGCAATTATAAAATATTTGTTTTAAACGTACAATCACACGCAATCACATACATAGATTATTTATTTTATTTTCAAAAGTCTTACGAATTTATTGAATATTGGGCAATCTTTTCCTACAGGATATAAATATTATGTCAAGGAGAAAGAAATTTACTGTAAACAAAGCGTATTAATCATAAAGTATGCTAGACCTGCGTGACGCTCTGTTTTTGTGCATAAATTTTCAAAGATAATAAAATAATAAATAAACTAAATTATTAAATACGAGTTTTTATTTCCATTAATCATTTTCTTATCATTTTGCATTTGCCCTAATTCAGCTCGAGCTCTTTCAAATTGTTTAATTAAAATGATTAATCAGAAACGCGAACAACAAAAGTAATTACATTTATTTAACTTAGTGTTTTCTATTTAAAACATTTTTGTTTTATTCTGAAAATAACGGTACTTATGACTACACGTCAGCATTTAGCACACTCTATTATTAATATAAATATTTTACTCTGTAAATAGCTAAAAATATTAAATGATTTAAATACATACATACGTATATGTATATAACGAACGTTAGTTGCGTGTAAAGTGTAAAATAATTACATTGATAACAATACATATTATCATCCGTTCGTATTTGAAGTGAAATCAAAGTTTTCTCTCTGCATCCAACGGCAGAATAATTATATCATAATTTTAGAAATGTTAATGCCAGCTGAGAAGCGATTTAGTACTCCAATATAAAATGATGAAATTTACTACAAAAAGCGTTGTTAATATTTGAAAAATAATAAAAATAATTACATTAAATGGATATCTGAATAAAAACACACATACATACATATAGATAATATATATTTACAAATATTTGCGAAATCGCATATGAGAACAAACTAAAATATCTCAAAAAATCTGAGAGTTCCGGACCACGCGGTTGCAATCACGTTGCTACTCTTCTTTAGACATACGTATTCCAATTGATATCAATATACGTGTGTGTATGTATAGCTGCCACTTAAATTTAAATTTATTTCAATTTTAAACCTCCGAATATTGCTGCAAAATTAAATCAGACTAAAGATTAGTTTAAAAAATGTATTTAATTAATTTCTAGATGTACTAATTGCTCCAAATCCTGTTGTAAATATTTATCTTCCAAATGAATTTAAGGTAATAAGTTATTTACTTAAATTTGGTATCAATTTAAATGTATCCAGGGTTTTTATACTTTTGCACACACACACACACACACACACACACACATGTTTCGAAAATTGCAAAATCATGTAAAAATCGTTTTCTCTTAATTATTTACATTCTAATAACAATTACGAAGCAATAACGCTTTATTTATTAATTGTAACTGTTAATACTCTAAATCTTCTATGTACTTAAATACGTACTATACGTGTATGTATTGCATTACATAACTTCCAATAATTGCTTTCAAGTGTTGCAAGTATGATAGCATAGACTTATATATTATTATATATGTATGTACTTACTCGTATATATATATGTATTTTAGCTATCACAATCTATATCAGCAAACTTAATAAACTAAGTATTCCCGTTAATAATTCTACAAAGGAAACACATATTAATATAATATATAATGTATATTTACCTATATATGCGCATACATATATATATATTAATATATATATATATGTATGTATACACGTAAGAGTTAAAAGAAATCTAAAAAAGATGTATTGTATATTAAATTTAAGGCAGTGTAGATATGTAAGTGAAAATTAGTGAAATGTAAGCGAAAACGGAGAGGTATTTAAAAGTTTGTGATCATTTAAAGGAAAACCAAACATATGTATGATATTATATATTTGAAAATGTATTGTAATAAAATATTATGATTATAACAGAAAGACAAAGTGAATTATAAGAAACGCATACATATTGAAAATAAAGTGCATATCGAAGGACAGTGAAAGGAGAATTTCCATCATGTTTAAATGCATACAATACCAAAAAGTATTAAGGACATGAAAATAACAGGTAAGTTGTTGCAAGAAAACATGCACTAAATAAAAAATAGTAATAATTAGTTTAGAACATAAAAAAATCGGCATATCAACCATGAAAACATTATAATCAGCGTCATAGTTATACAATCACCTTATAGGAGCATGAAATCACATATTCTCTACGACGTTTTTAGGCATGAAACCACAGAATATTAAACTGAAATCATACTACTTTGTGAGCTTACTCTGGAGCATGCCACAGATTACTGTGTTTGGAAGATGCAGCTGTAGGAAATTATTTTGCCATGAATATGTCTGTTCATTTGGTATAAAGCCAACAATTCTTTATTTGAGGTCGTAACAGCGCCTTATGGGTTTTCTGGTCAGATTTTATGCAAATCAAACGATTTAAATATAAACTCGATTTTTTTCAAATAGAACCGTCCCAGCTCACTTCCTCGAAGAAAAGGTGTTCCCAATGATAATTTGGGTTCCAAGCTACTACTGTAGAACATTTTATGTAAATCAAACGACAATTACAAATTTTTCGGATAGATCGTTTTTGGGTCTACTTCCCGCAAGAAAAAATGTACCCTATTCCAATTCAAGCAAATTTACTATAGGTCAAATTAATAGATCCGGTCCTGGTCCGATTCCCGGAAAATCCTTTCTTATCGGGCGCCTACGTCAAATGCACAACACCCTCCTAGTTTCAGGTTTTTACGACCAGTGGTTTAAGCTATGGTTTGATCCTTCAGTCATTCAGAACAAAGCCTTATATGTATAAATTAATCTAGATTAATCATTAATACCAACTTTAGTTTAGGAATTAATTAATTATTTCGGTGGTGACAGGGTGACTCTTTGCCGTGTGAATTCTCCAATTTGATGCTGGAGAGAATAATAAGAGCTGCAGAGCTGAATAGAAAAGGTACAATCTTCTATATGAGTGTACAACTACTGGCGTACGCCGATGATATTGCTATTATCGGCCACAACAACCGCACCGTTAGTTCTGCTTTCTCAAGGCTTGATATAGAGATATAGAAACGAAGCAAATGGGTCTGGTAGTGTACGAGGGCAAGAAAAAACATCTCCTGTCATCAAACAAACAGTCATAGCATTCGCAACTTGGCAACCACGTCACTGTTGACACCCATAACTTTGATGTCGTAGATAATTTCGTCTATCTAGGAACCAGCATTTTCACCAATAATTACGTCAGTGCTACTTTGGACTGAGTAGGAAAGTGAAGTCCTCTCTCGGCGAACGAAAACCAAACTCTACAAGTCGCTCATCATACCCATCCTACTATATGGCGCAGAGGCGTGGACGATGTCAACAGCTGATGAGTCGGCTTTGGGAGTCTTCGAGAGAAAGGATTCGCCAACGATTTTTGGTGCTCTGCGCATTGGCTACAGCGAATACTACAGGCGATGGAATGATGAGCTGTACGAGCTATATGATGATATTGACATAGTTCTGCGAATAAAGAGACAGCGGGTAAGCTGGCTAGGTTATGCCATCCGAATGGATGAAAGCACTCCAGCATTGAAAGTATTCGATGCATCCAATCCACCCGCTGGTAGAAGCAGAGGGAGGAACTTATAAAACAAATATAATTTTCCAAAGACCCAACAGGAAGGTTAAACCTAAGTCTAATCGAAAATATTTGCTTAATGAAATATATCTTTGAATCACGCAAACAGAAGAAGGTCACGCTATACTTTTATTAATCTTTTCGATACTCCACTACCGCCAATACATATATACACGTTGGTAAGTAATACAAGAAAGCGCAATATGTTTAATTTGCGTGCTAATTCAAATCAAAGAAATAAACAAACCCTTGGGGGGGGGGGCACACTTTCGTATATTTTTTAAAGCGCACAAAGGAAATTTATCGTCAGTGTAGTATCCTAAACATAACCGTAACTGCGAAGTTAAACGCATTAATTCTGAGCCACTCAACCTAGTTTACATCGCCATGACCCTGTCCCACTATTGCGCAGGCACTTCGAAGGTATGCGACGCCATGCACGCAAAATGCCAATGTCTACGCTATTCGCTGGTGTCGCCAACAAAATTCTCATGGAACTACGCATACTTTATTCGCATCACGTGCATAAACCATCACGTGTGGAGTGCCTTATGTCGTGAGGGTGGAATGGTTGTAACACCTTATTTGGCTTTCTTCTTTCTAAGAAACGTTTAAGCGCCGGCCGCTGGTTACGAAGTAGAAAATATTAAAGTATTTAGCGCGAAATTCGCAAATGAAGTGGGGGCTTTGTAACTCGGTAATTGAATTCGCGAATTTTAATAAATAATCGTGCTATTGCTTCTGATATACATACATATATGTTCATTTCTAATTTAGTTCCAAACTCTTATGATTAATTGTTTAAGAATCAAGAAAAGTTTCGACCGTAAATAATTACTCAATTACTCGAATATTGTACTTTTCGGTGTCTTCGAACGCCACTCACAGCTTCATTTTATCCAAGTGAACAACTCCAACGAGCAAAACATTTTATTAACAAATCTTCTGAATGCGAATAACCCTCACGCTCTGATCTTTAAACAAGCAGAAAATCATTGATGCTTTGAAGGTATTTCATGACAATTGAAGTGAAGCGGGTGATGCAGTGGACCAGCTGAGAACGAACAACACAAGTATGAAAGGCGATAATTATAAATATGTACATGAGTATGCAAATAGCATCACACACCCCGAGCAAAATTGAAGAATTTAAAAAAGTTATAAAAAATGTCCTCTGACAGTACAAAGCTCCAAGTCACACGGTTAGCACGGGGTTGGGGTTGCCCAAGAAGTAATTGCGGATTTTTTAAAAGAAAGTAAATGCATTTTCAATAAAACTTAGAATGAACTTTAATCAAATATATAATTGCCATTTTGTTCGATAACCTTTTGTCATTTTCCTGGCAAATTTAGTATTCCACGCTCATAGAACTTCTGGCCTCATCATTGCCGAAAGTTTTACCATTTAAGGAGTTCTGCAAAGATCGAAATAAATGGTAGTCTGATGGTGCAAGGTCAGGGGTATATGGTGGATGCATCAAAAGTTCCCAGCCAAGCTCACTCAGTTTTTGGCGAGTGACCAAAGATGTGTGCGGTCTAGCGTTGTCCTGGTGGAATATGACACCTTTACGATTGACCAATTCTGGTCGCTTCTCCTTGATGGCTGTATTCAATTTGTCCAATTGTTGACAGTAAACACCCGAATTAATCGTTTGGTTCCTTGGAAGCAGCTCAAAATATACGACACCCTTCCAATCCCACCAAACAGACAGCATAACCTTCTTTTGGTGGATATCAGCCTTTGAAGTGGTTTGAGCTGGTTCACCATACTTGGACCATGATCGTTTTCGACTAACGTTGTTGTAAACAATCCATTTTTCATCTCCAGTTATGATTCGTTTTAAACACGGATCGAATTCATTGCGTTTAAGGTGCATATCACAAACGTTGATTCGGTTTTCGGAATTTCTTTCAATACATGTGGTACCCAAATATCAAGCTTTTTCACCAGTCCAAGACTTTTTATGTGATAATGAACGGTTGATTTTCGTATATTTAACTTCTCTCCTATCTCACGCTCAGTTACATGACGATCCAATTCGATTAATGCTTTGATTTGGTCATCATCAACTTCATTTGGAAGACCTGAACGTGGCTCATCTTTAAGTGAAAAATCTCCATAACGGAATTTGCGAAACCAATTCTGACACTGTCTTCCTTTTAAGGCTTCATCACCATACACATCTCGTAACTTTATAGCAACCTGCTCCGCGTTTTTTCCTTTACGGAAATAATAAAGTAAAATATGACGAAAATGCTCCTTAGTGGGCTCCATATTAAAATTGACGCCAAACCAACAAATGTAAACAAAATTTCGCGCACTTTTTTTTAAAGCAAGCTAAAAGTAACAGCTGATAACTGACAGAAGAAAGTATGCAATTACAGAGTCACAAGCCGTTGAAAAAATTTGTCAACGCCGACTATATGAAAAATCCGCAATTACTTTTTGGGCAACCCAATATAATAATAATATGATATTCTAACCTCATTTCAATTTCATTTTCTTCTACAATATATATAGAAATATATTTGTTTGTTTCTTGGTTTCCCTGTGTTCTCTACCAAGCATCTTACACTGAATAATTGTAGCATAGTTCCTATGATTCTTGGGATGTTTTGTACGAAAACCTTTTTCCGGAAGTGGACCATGACCTGCCGTAGTTGAACAAATCTTTTTTTTTTTTTTTGATTCTATCAATATTGACAAAATTTGCAGCACTAACTGCATTATTTGCGATTGATTTAGGAGTTACAGCGGCTTGTAGAAAGAAGCGACAAGGGTAATTGTCCAAAATACTATCAAAAGATACCACGAGTGGAGTAAACTCTGATAGGACCCAGAGAGGTCATCTAATTAATATGCTTAATTTATGGAGGGAACACATTTCCAGCCTCCTGAATGGCGGTAAAAATGAAAAAAACACAAGAAGATGGTAAACTCGAAATCCCAATCGATGACTTTGGAAAAGCATATTTATTAATGACTTCTTTGGTGTGAGCAAATTTTCAAACCTGCATGGTTATGCTGATGACATTCAGTTATATTTATCCACCATACTGACTTGGCTGATATCTCTAACTGGACGGCTGCCAGCGGTCTTATTTTAAATAAAAACAAGTGTTGTGTGCTGCCAGTCAGTGCTAGAAAACTGACAAATCTGGATTTTTTGTCCCCAATATTTATAGACAATTGTTCCTTAAAATTAGTCAGGAAGATTAAAAAATTAGGATACATTATTAACTCTAATCTTGCACGCACGGATCATGTAAAATCCATTGTTAGTAAGGTCTATCTCATTCAGAGGAATATTAGGCAGTCAGCTATCAATACACCCATTACTACCAAACGTCGACTCGATATACAAA